ACGCTATAAACTAAATTCTCACATCATATAGTCGGTGTGACTAAGCATCTCAATTTATGCACGGTGGGGAAGGTCCTGTTAAAGATGGAAAAGTTCAAGGCAACTCACTCTACATCGGGTACCTGCGCTAGTTATCTATAATAATAAGATAAAAATAATGAAATATAGATAAAAGGAAAACTCATACGATCAAGTTTTGACGTATACGATCCTTGACTACCAACTAGTGCAAATGAATGAGCACAGCATGTGTTTAATTCGAGCCATTCTGCTTGTAGTTGTCGTCTGAGTTTTGCAACAACGCCCTCATGCACTCCTAAAAAACATGTTTGTAATATTTCAAAGTGTTTATAGTTCGGTGATGCAACAGTTACCTTTAAATGTTGATGCATTATCAGCAGCGAACGAGCACGTATTGATTGCACTAATATCATCTTTCCTCCAAATACTACTTATTGATTCAACAATATTTGTAGCTGTGCCATCTCATTCCATGTCCATTAATGCGTAAAACGATGTTTTTGCATGGTAGTTTTATAAGTATCGCACATACACGATACAACTCTTTTCTACTGTTCGCGAAGTTGATTCATCCATCATCCATCCTACGAAGGAAGAAAATAGTGATTCAAATACGTAACGAACAGATTAATCCTTTTGGGACTAAGATTTTTTTTATGGAACGGTAAAATAAATAGGAAAAAATTAATTTATTCACTTATGATACAGTAGATTATAGGAAGAAAGTAGAATATAGAATACTTGGCCTACAAATATCTTGTATAACAATTCTATAAAGTCTTATACGATTCTTATATGAATCTTACCAGTTTCTTATATCCATCGATTCCATTTGCTCCCAGTCTGAGGTATTTCCGTTTGTCTGATAGAGAGATTCTTTTTGACGAAGTTGAATTATTAATAAAAAACCTTTATCAGGTACAACAATTTTCTTTCGTCAGTACAAATAGTGACTTTCTTAACGCCTCTCGCTGGCAAAGTGTTCTTTCAACTATGCCGCTCTTATTTAAATTCAAGTTACATGTTAATGTATATAATATCCATTCATCGTCAATCATCACACCTTTACTGGACTTATTTCAAACTGAATTTTGGTTAAAACGAAAGTGGTACATGGCTTGTGATTATGATAAAAGCACGTATCATTTGGTATTCTACTCGTTTCCTGATCGTCGCCGTTCGATAACAGTGGGATCTTCCAAACAAACAGTTTCCACATACAATGACGAATCCTCGGCAAGGTAAGTTGACGATTTCGTGTAGCAGTGTACTAGAACCGTACCAAACAAGTAATGTTAGACTCTATTTGCATTTGAAGTCTTTATTTCTGTCATTTCAGTGTTTAGACAGAAAGGAGAATAATAGGAAAACTATAAGAATAACCTAAAGCCTGTTAGAATCTGTTTTAAGAATAAATCCTCTATATCCTATTTACACACCCGACCACTCGTGTGGCACACAGAACATAAAGCACAGCTTAACCTTTGTGTTCCATTATTTTATATTCTTTTTAAGAAATACCGGTAAACGAATTAGTAGTGACAAATTTTTTACATCATCAACCAGTATCGAAGTCGATGAACTATATGTTTGTGATTATAATCAATTGCGCTACACGAAATATCAATACTTTAATGTCAAATCATTGTATGTAGCAGATAAGTTGCAACTCGTAAATCCATCGTTTTTAGACAACCTTGGCAAAATAATCCAATTGTCGAATTTAAAGCAATTAACAATATGGAACGATCACCCGTGGCCATTTGAAACATTCGAACGTTCGCTTGTCTTCTCGCCAAATATTCACTCTTTAACGTTAAACGCCGATTATCTCCTTCGTTTACTCAAAAGTTCAGATCAAATTTGTCAACGTCTGACAAATATGTTGATCAACGAGCTAAGTTTAGGTGGTGATGACAAAGTCTGGTCAGTTGACAACGTTGAATTATTTACACATACTTTTTCGAATTTGGAATCATTTACGATTTATAATGTTCCCACTGCTAATGAATTTTATTCTATCATGCCAATCATTCTTAAAAAGTTCACAAAATTAGTAACACTATCGGTATTCTTGAAATCATCTTTTTTACCATCAAAAGCATTTGTGGAAAATTGGCTAAAAGAGAACACAATTAAATTAAACTTTTATTTGAAATGTGCATCCCGTGGTGATATTGTTCATCTATGGCTGTAAAGATAATTAAGGTGAGCGACTGTTATCAACACACGTTTGCGAATTTTTCTTTGCTGAAATGTCAACATCGTCCACATGCTGAACTTTCAATTCTGTCAACGTCAACAATTATGTGCAGGATTTCAAGTACGTCAAGCCCGTTCCTCGGAAAGTTCAATCACTTGCTACAAAAAAGATCATCCATAATTTTTCTCTGCATCTTGAATGTTCTAACACCCTTTTTTAGACTTGGTTACAGCATGTTTTACTCTGACTTTCCTTCGAGAACATGGTATAGTATTTGACTCAAGCTGCTAAAATTCTCTTTCACCCGATCAACTGGCATCGACTCATAAAAAATTAATAAATTGAAAGGAACAAGTGCTATCAGCGATAAAGGAATAATGGTGACGGTATTGATCACTCATAATTAGCAAAATATTTTCAATTATTTTTATTCATACCAATAACCAAAATTGTTGATCAATTTTGATTGATCAAAAATTTCAAATGAAACTAGTACGTTATCGACAGAAAAAGAATTTACAGTTATAAAAATATTTATATCGCTTTTGATCTAATTGTTAATTCTATTATTATTCCAGTATTTCTGCTGAATGATAATATTATTCTGCTGAGGAAAAAATTGAACATATTGTTGAATTCGAAGCCGTTCACCTACAGTTCAGGCTTTGTATTAGTCTTTTCTTAATCGAAATATATTTTAATAAAACTGTTTTTATCTACATTATCCACCAAGTAATTTGAGAAATGGGAATAACTGAAGAGTTTAAGGGAATATGTTCGTATTAAAGGATGATGATGGCATATGTATTCTATCTTTGACCGGTATTTTTCGAATAGTGACCAACACTATAATAATGACTAAATTCATTTTTGCATAAAAAATTTAACAAATACTAAGTTTCTGAAAATGAAAACCAGTGATAGTTTCCAGAAGGTCTTTCAAAGAAGTTCGTTCCAAATTCTTTTAAGAAAAAAGATAAAATTCAATCGAGATATATAGTACTGAGTCCTCATTGCTATGGTTGTTATATTTTCAACACACCCAGTGAAAAGGTGCATTTTTTTACCGTTTTCCAATAGTAACGGCCTATCTTGCACGCTCTGTTGTGACTAAAGTACGTAACACAGCCTTGATTTTAGTCTCAAATGAAAGAGCTTGTCGAATTCTACATCAGTAGATAAAGAAACCTTATGTACCATTTCATGATTTTGCGAAAAAGATTTCTGAAAAATTCGCTTTTTCAAAAGCCCTATCTTGAAAATTCTTTCAGAATGATTTAACTCTCCCAAACCTTTTGTACATCGTGGTAGGTTTCATTAAAAGGAAACAATTATTATTATTGTTTCAAGTAAATACGCTAATGATAACTTACAGCTATTAAGTACAGATGATAAAATTGATTCTATATATTTTGTACAAATAAAGACTATTATCAGCATCTCATTGATGAAAGAAAATATTCAAAATTAATTAGAATTTTTACAGAATATAAGAAACTATTTCAGACATCGGAAAAATCGATACATTCACTATTAAAACACTTATCAATATTTAACTTATGTGATCGACATAATGCATCAATACGTGATCTTAGAACAAGAATCTCTTGATTATTTATTCTTCTGCAGATCAAGATGAGACTCAGACGTATTCTTCGCGATTCGCAAACTCACCATGGAAGTAAATACTCTATTTTTTCTAATAGAACTCTCATTACTCGAGAATTTAGACTCAAATTTTACACAATTAACGGGTGGATTCTGAGCATTTTCTTCTTCAGCATAGGTTATTTAGTCATGAACTTGAATCAGGTTGATCTTTTGCGTCTGTTTGCTCAACATTTTTTGCACAATTTGGCTGAAATATCTATGTCTTCCCCTATCAAGTACATTATATCAGCAGTGCATACTCTTGTATTGCGACGTATGGTGTATACACAAGGAAAGAGAATATGATTCAACGTATTTTCTTTCTTCTTATTTTTTCTTTCATTTCTCTCACAGATGTGTACAGCAAGCTTACGAGAACATCGCTTCTTCACCTGAGTCACCACGTGTGTTCTGCGTATGTGAATAACAATTACACATAGAAAACTCTCGTCTTAGTAAGAAGAAAGTGGAAAATAGAGATATTTTTTCTTGTATAAAAGCAACTGCCTAACACAGCTAACTTCATTACAATCTCGAATATCGTACGCTTTCAAACGTTCGCCCTTTTGCTCTCTGCACACGGACACAAAATTTTACATTTACACGTATAAACAAAAGTTATTCAACAACAAGTAAGTTTATCAACACAGATTTTACTATTGGGTTTTAAACGAAGCTCAACTTTATAGTTATGCAAATATTCGTCAAAACGCTCACGGGCAAAACAATTACGCTCGAAGTAGAACCGTCTGACACGATTGAAAATGTTAAAGCAAAAATTCAAGACAAAGAGGGAATTCCACCCGATCAACAACGTCTAATATTTGCTGGCAAACAGCTTGAAGATGGTCGCACATTGTCAGACTACAACATTCAAAAAGAATCTACTTTACATTTGGTTCTTCGTCTCCGTGGTGGTATGCAAATATTCGTGAAAACCTTGACAGGCAAGACCATCACGTTGGAAGTTGAACCGAGTGACACTATTGATAATGTCAAGGCCAAAATTCAGGACAAAGAGGGAATTCCTCCCGATCAACAACGATTGATTTTTGCCGGCAAACAGTTGGAAGACGGTAGAACAGTAAGTATTTGTTTATTCAATCAATAACAATACTTCAAGATTGTCCAGAAAAAGTAGAATGTTTGACCTCTCAGTAACAAAAAAAGTTTCTTTTAGCGTAATTAAATTGTATAAGCTTACTGAGTGCTACCTGTAGGAGAAAGAGGGGCATCGCAGAAAATTTTGTTTACATATCAAAAATAATGTTACAGAGCGATTATCGATATTAAACCTAACCTTGGTTTTTCAGGCGACAGATGTCTTGCATATCGAAATAGAGAGTTACTGGCTCGAATTGAGCTGGAGGCCTTCGTTGTAACGGTCTCTAACATTGAATGCATTGTTCATGAGAACAGAGTGCATAGCAACGGAATAAACGTAGCTTTAATACTGAAAAGAATATCGGTGACATACACGAATACTACTTTCCTTCTTGGTTTCAAGTCAAGATCTAGAAAATCACAAGAAGTTTATTTGTGAGATAAAAACAGAAAAAAGTAAACTCAGTTTTTGAAATTACATCCCGGTTTTGAAAACACTTTTTGAAGCTCATCAGCTATTTCTGTCACGGTAGACATTCTTAGAGTATATCAGCTGATTCCTTCGCAACTCTGAACGTATTCTTCTCTCACTTCTAGTTGTCGGATTATAATATCCAAAAGGAATCCACACTGCATTTGGTCCTCCGTCTCCGTGGTGGCATGCAAATTTTTGTCAAAACGTTAACCGGGAAAACAATCACACTTGAGGTCGAACCGAGTGACACAACCGAGAACGTTAAAGCCAAAATTCAAGACAAAGAAGGAATCCCTCCCGATCAACAACGACTCATCTTCGCCGGCAAACAGTTGGAGGACGGTCGTACATTGTCAGATTACAACATTCAAAAAGAATCGACACTCCATTTGGTGTTGCGATTACGGGGTGGCCAGTGAAGGAGACTAAATAAAAACAAAAAGAACTCTTTTTCTCAGCCACGACCATGTGTTCATTTTCAGCTTTTTATTATTCAAGCATATTTTTATTTTCGTTTCTTGTTTGGTTTTCTTTTGTCTCTGGGTAACCGTTGTAGATTGTGATAACGAAGAAGAAAAAAATAGCAATATTTATCTACAAAAATAAAGGAAGTAAGAGGATATTTAAACACTTGTCGTCTAGTAAAAACCCTTCATAGAATCGGAGTGAACAGGAATGGAACTACATCTTGACGCTCTACAAAATAAAAGAGATCGGGGAGGAAAAATGGAGACTTGAGCCGAAGGAGAAAGGATAGGAGTTAAATTACATATGGCAAGAAAAAATATTTCTTTGGAGAGAAGAACTTTGTAGTGAACTGAATAGCAGACAAGAGAGCAAAACTTCACCTAAGCCAACTTTCTTCATTCACTGTTATCCTGATCACGCTTAGCTTGTGCAACTCTTGTCGCATGCGTTAAAAAGTCTCGATGTTATGTCGCAATAATGTCCAGCTCCAATTTAGAAAATTAAGAATCGAACGCGATCAGGTGACGACAATTTTTCTTACCGCGAGCATGCTTGCGTCTTCAAGCGCGACGGACAGAACCGATTCTCATTAACAAAAATGTGCTGAACCCAGATTTACAATCACAGCATGATCGCGATTTAATCTTATAAACGTGCCACAAGTCTCTGTAAGAGCCACAGAGTAAGAGCCATTTGTCGTAAAACTAAGAAATTTATAAACTCGCCCTATAACTCGCTATACGAAAGACGCAATGGCACGTATAAAAGGTATACTTAAAAAGAAAAACCAGCTTGCGGCAATTTCTCAAATACAAATTAATGAAAACGATACTTACCATACATTTTCTTGCGATAGTGTAGCTTCCAAACAATACTGCACTGCACAGATGCCTCAAGATGAATTCTATTGTTTCCTTGAATCGACAAACAAAACACAGAAAGCGCAAAGAAAGAAACGAGATAACACTTATCCATGATTCGCTGTGGCCATTGACTTTAGAACGTATATCTGCGAAACTCCCTATTAAGTTTTTGTTTTTCGTTGACATTTATAGGAACCTCTCAAATGATAATTGAACTGGGTAGGCTGTTGGTAAAAAACAAATTTATAGGCAATGCTTTCGACTATGCCAAAGCTTTGATCGTATTCCTCACCAGCCACTATTCAGGCAACTTTCAATGGTAGATACAGGGGCAGCACTGATCGACTGGCTTGTTTCCTATCTCTCCGATTGAAAAAGCAATTGGTTGTTGTAAACAAGAAGTCAGCGCCTGCCGTAATATCTTCAGGTGTTTCCCAAGGTGGTGTGCTGAAGAACATAAGAATTCAATGAAAGTGTCGATGAAACCTTTTCAAATCAATGATCTAAAATAAAGTACTTCTCAGTCCACTCGATTATTATTCTGATGCTCAAACGTATATCAATAAATATATTTCTGATCATCCATCCAAGATTGTTCAAACTGCTTATCAAGTTGATCCATTATCCAAATATGAGTCAAATAGATACCGAAAAGAATGAACCTTATGATGTTCGTTTGACAATTACTGATGTCGATTATGGTCTAATTGTTTGTATAATTTCTATCGAATGTAAATTATCAAACATAATAGTAAGTCAAACCTCTGTCTACTATTTACTCGTTGGGAAGAATCGGAGATGGTGATGGTCAACATCAACTGACACCTTTTCCGTTATTCGAAGAATGTCAAAAGGAATTCACTAAAGGCTTTCGTAAGAAAAGTGGTAATCTATGGTAACACACTGACCAGTTTATAATTAAACCAAAGAAATATACATTAATATAATTGGATGAACGTCAAATACAAAAATATATCGATGTTCCAAATGATTTTGAACGCTTACAAGATGAGAAGCAACAACCCTCATCAAAACGAAAATTATTGCCTTATTGGTATTTGTTCAGACTATTTCTTCATCCTCAATCTATTCGAGAAAATCTAAAAATAACTCAGTTAGCTATCGAATGGATGCCTGTTTCTCAACTGAGACCTGAGAGTTTACAAAGAGCACGTCACATCCTAAAACAACTCAAAAAAAAGATTAAAGAAAAAAACACAACTTAAGCTAACGATTCAACAATCCATCTGCACTGAATCTGAAAGTCAACCATCTCTTGATCCTATTCAAAAAACTAAAGTCCAACTTCTTCTCGATTTTATTTGAGAATTAACCAATGAATATTATACAATTATACCTTTACAAGGTTATGGTCATGATAAATGACCTATGATTGATAGTAAACAGAGGTCGTGGCAAATCTCAACCTATTACCAGTTTTCACGAAATCTCTGATAGCTGATCTCTGATTATTTGAAGAAGAAGTCAATGACAATGATCACAAAAGCAGATATCAGCTGTTTACTTACAGCATACATATCTGAGAAACCCCAGAAAAGCAAATATCAGTTACACTATAGTATAAGTAAATATCAGATATTTACTTACACTTCAGATATTTACTTACACTATAGTGTAAGTAAATATCTGATATCTGATGCTGGTAGTATTACAGAAATATATAGTGTGAGTAAATATTTAATATCTAATATCGGGGTCGTTTTCGGATTTAGTCATAGACATGCCACTGTTTATTTCAGTTTATGCATCATAAATTTGTACAAACTTTCAAAATTTAAAATATTTGAAAATTTGGAAAGTAAAAAACTTTGACACGCAGATTTCAAAATTTCTACCAATTCGAGAATGACTACCCCTTGAATAAACAAGCTGTAGAAGTTCAAGAACAAAAAGTTTATGATATATTTGAATTAGAATTATCTTATAAAATTGTTCTAGCTGCACAAGCTAGTATAAATCAAATGTCACCATTGGATTATTTATACAAATCAATCAATTGTCAATTCGGAGTAATCAATCAAAATCATATCGATTCACAATTAATTTCACGATATATTTGGACGAGTACACATCAAATTCGAATCGAACAAATATTCAAAGTTGCTGGAGAGAATGATGATCAACGGTTGTTTCAACTCAATCTTGATAATCATTATTTGTTATGGCATGGAACTAATATCTGCAATTTGATCAGTATATTTTCACGAGGTATACATTTATCTTGAAAATAGAGCTTGAAAAGATAATTCATCGTATTTGTAGGACTGTTAGTTCCATCTATGTTTGCAACAGCCACTGACCCTCGATACACTATTACTCGAACTGATGGTTAGTTTTTACTAAGATTTGTTTCTGTATTGTTCTGAAATCTGAACTATTCTAGGTTTTCAAATGCTATTAGATCAATTGATTAATTGTACCGATCATAACTACGGTGATCATCGTTGTCAATATAACGAATATATTATCTTTGATAAATCACCAATAGTAATTCGACATCTTGTTCAATTTCGACGATAAGAAGAGTTTTCACATGTCTGTATGGTTTTATTGTGATTGAGAGAATGATTTAATATTCTAATATAATTCAAGACTTATTTTTCACGCTGATTTTTTCCACGTAGTTTTGTTTCAAGGGTAGAGTGCAGTGTCTCCACAGTTCAACATCGGAAAAACCTCCCGGTATGTGTTAGTTAAAGAAAACTTGTCATATATCGACTATTGTAGAAACGACGAAAACTGAACTGTTTAACTGTTAGAAATGAAAGGCTGATTTTCTCTTTGTCTCAATCTCAATAAAATATCTTTCATTTCTCTAAAACTACTAGAGGCTATATAATGAATATTTCCATATGAGATTTGATTACCCTCCATCAAGTAGATGACGAATGATGTGAGAAAGTATACTTTTTGAGAAAATGTAATCCTTTATATTATTGCATAGGATGATAAATTATCTGAAAGAGTTTGAGGAAGTAATCAATCATTTATAGAGAATAATCTGCTGATAGACTGCGTCCAATTTCGTGTTATATTTTTCTATATGATCTTATGTATTCTATGTTGAATAACATCGTGGAAGTAGTTCTTTGATGAACAATCTTTACTGAATAAGAAAGCTTGGATAAATAAAAATAAACACTGAATCACTTTTTTCTGATTGGTCAGAAAGCAAGGCATTATTTATAGTCACGCATGAATAAGATAGAATCAATTAGTGGATTAAGAAAAAAAATCTTTATTATCAATTAAACAGGAGTAAACGTGCCATAACCCCATGATGCACCATCACCAAAAACATTCAACTTCCACGTTTCGGTAGAGCGTGAGAAATTTGTATTAGCTGCATTGGGTATTACATTAGCACTCTGCCAAATAGTCCCATAGCTATTACTTGGGTTAGGATAATATGCTACACGATTCATGCTTGAACCATATGCACTGTACGTTATATCGGTAGCTTGAAAATAATCAAAATTATACACAGCCGTACCAAACCATGCTTGAGTGAACTGGTCACTTGTCCTATTCGTCGATAAACAAGCCACTTGTATACCTAAACTACACTGATATGCAGCAACCTTGTTCGCTTTTGCTGTCCAATTTAAAAGTGGTTGATAAGTTCCATTGGAAACTAAATAAGATTCGAGTATATAGATATCACCTGAATTTAGTGTGACATTGTTTCCACCAAGTACATCGTCCGGATTCCAGGCATTCATAATAACATTCATGCTTTTATTGTGACAATAATTGATCATATCAGACTGACGTTGTCGAGTCACACCATAATCAAATCCAGCATCGTCCCAGAATATTCCCTAGAAAAGTTAGAAACAGAGTTCATATTTCTATCATTTAATGTTATGAACAAGAATAAATAATCTCCTTACTGTTGCTCCCATTTGTGACCATCCATTCACAGCTTGCTGCATTTGCGTATAGGAATAGTTGTTTGTTCCAGGGATTACGCCAAGATCAACGTAACCAAATACTCGTTTACCTTTTGCGACAAGAGTTCGGGTAATATTCATTGTATTGTTATGGTCTGTATGATTAATATTCCAAATACCAGCACCAAAGACGATTAAATCGAATTGTTTGAACCAGTTTGCCGCTGACACCAAATTACCACTGCTATTTTGTACTAGCGATGGATATCCATAGTAAATACAAAGATACGTTGGTACTTTTACCGATAGTAATCCGACGGTCGTTTGTGAACTAACTTGAAAGAGAAACATACATTCTGAAAAATCTTCTCTTCGTTATCGATGTGATACATACGTAATATACCGAGGAGAAGAACGATCATGAAAAGAGTACTCATGGGAACTCTCAACCTAGAATATGATGAGAAAAAAACGTATGTAAGAGTAAAGTTGATGGATGCTTTTATAGTAGCAACTCACGAGGAAGAACTATGTACTTTGGAATGATGGCGTGATCAATCGATGGTGAATAACGAGTAAAAATGAAGCTTTTCAAATGCCTTTCGCTTTCAACTACAGCAGAAAGAAAAGAAAACTAAAATGAAAGATGGAATGATGGTGCCTTGTTACTTTGATCAAATAGAATTATAACTGCGTCAGGAAGAGAGTGATTTTTTTATTCAAAAGACGAAATTGAAAGACTGACCAATTCCAGCTAAGTAAAAAGAATAAACAAGGCATACAATCATTCCTTGTTTCAAACAATAATACGAGCATGTTCCTCGCCAAAGTCTGCACGATCAATAGTAATATAGAAATGCTGTATCATACAAACAGATGGATTTCTATAGTGAACAATGGAAAATAGTTTGAAATTGGGGATAAAGATTTTCACTTGATCGTATTCATTAAAGGATAATTATTTTCAAATAGATCCGGCTGGAAGATAACTATTAGATTGTGACTTATACAAACTGACTCTCATTTAGTATCCGTGCATATTTTATTGAAGAGAATCATATATATCTCCACAGAATACTTACGTATATAAGTTAGAATAACAAAAAGAGAAGAAGTACACGAGAAAAAACGTGAAGACGATACGCGACACCTACAGTATTCTTTTCGATCATTTACACAGTTAAAAAAAGAAATATTACCTCTGCTCATTCTAACAGCTCAGAATGTATCATCGAAACACTTTAATCTCTGAAAAATATTAGAAAATCTCTACAGTAAATACGACTACCGACAATCTATTCACAATTTTAGGCCGAAAATTTCCCTTGCTTATTCAATCGTATATGTTGCCTCATGCAGAAAATCTCCACCAATTGTTTAAGATTGTTTCAGGTATTACTCGTGCTTGTAGTGGAATTTTTGTTGGCGTAATTTCAAATCTGAAATATGATTTTACTAGTGCAGCTGCCAGGAAATTAAAAAAACACGGTATAATCAATGGACAATATGAATGTAATGAAGAAGTGAATACAAAAATGAATGTCGATGGAATGAAATATCGACTTACATTCAATTTGGATCAAGACGATGAACTGACACTAGTTGATCATTGGTATAGTCCAAAAAACATACGAGAAAGTGGATTTAGATAATCTCAATGGATGTCTTTACAGATCGACAGAAAGGAAGAATATTTCATTGGATCCATTGCTCTTGTTTAATTTTGTTACTTTATATTGCGACACGATGTTCTTGTTTCCATAAATAAATGTCTTGTTGATATAAATATAGGAAAAGGGTAATCTTAGAAGAAAAAAAAGCATAACATAAGTTATGGTATATTTCCTATATGACCCAATCACACCATGCGATGACCCATTTCTTGTTGATCTCACTGAAAAGAGAAAATGAAACTCTAGAATCACATTTTAGCTTTTTTTGAATATCGATCCCATCCCTGAAATATCGAATTTTGAAGTGTACCAAAAAGAAATTTCTATAGTATTTTTCAAATTGCGAGACTTGAAAAGTGAAATTCAAAAAAATGTAGAAAAAACATTTCTCTATCGTTTAATGTTGTTCCCAGCTCGATATGTTGAAAATTGCGAGACTAACGCCCATTTCAGAGTTAAGTGACCGTGGCTATTTTTTGAATAACTTTTAATCGAGATCAGGGTTGCGTCATTGGAAAGAGCGGACTCTGAGGCGTCTTTCTGTACGATACATTTGAGTTCAGAGTCACTTTTTAAAGACTATGCAATCGTCGATATGTTGTTTTCGTGTTTTTTCAACGAATTTTTTCGACATTCTGATTCCCATTATACCAAACTGTAGCCTGAACTCCGCTGTACGCATGGTAAAATTTTGACTTCTTCATATCCTAGTTTTGATCTTTTTTCTTGAACAAGGTCACTTTGATGTATGGTAACTTTACGGTATATGCAGCGGAATTCAGGCTACAGTTTGGTATAATGGGAGCTAGAATGTCGAAAAAATTCGTTGAAAAAACACGAAAACAACATATCGACGATTGCACAGTCTTTAAAAAGTGACTCCGAACTCAAATGTATCGTACAGAAAGACGCCTCAGAGTCCGCTCTTTTCAACTACGCAACCCTGATCTCGATAACGCTAGCCAATCAAAATTTGTTCAAAAAATAACCACGGCCACTTAACTCTGAAATGAACCTTAGTAAAATTTAAACAGGAGAAACTTATGAATACTTTTTATGTACCAAGTTCGCGCATACATATAGAAGAAAAAGTGGAAAACAGCTTTTTAATGATAAGTTATTTGATCAATGATTTTATGATAGTTATAGCCATTTTTCGCTGGCAAAGCTTTCTGAAAATGATACTTTGTTTGAGTATTTCGATAGTAGAAGATGGATTTGATCTCATCTCGTTTACAAATGACTTTGAAGTACATAGTACACCAAGTCCTTCAATAAGATTCGACAATGTTTCGAGAGTTGTCTTCTGTGTGCTACTCATATAATAGATACGTCGGTAACAATGTAATTCCCATCATATGGAACGTATGATTGTACCATCAGCTCGAGCTGGAATGTTGTTAACTAATAATGATGAAAGTTGGCGTACTTCGTCCAGTTCTAATATTTTGCCATCGACATCAGCTAAGATATGACAAAAGAAATCAAATCCTAACTTCACATTTTCTTCAGAATGAAAGCTACCAACAGCCGTTAAAATTGTATAAACCATTACAACCACCACAACTTTTGTTGAATGAAGAAGCAATGGACTTGCCTGTGACTCCTTTTGACGATGCCAGAGTTAATAATAAAGAGAGTCATGTTGAGACTACTTCGGGTTTACATAGATCACGGCCATTTTGACCAAAGATATGAATTGAAGCAGCGAAGCCAATTTCTAATTCTGGCAGAAGAGTAACAGCATCAACTTCTTGACTTTTCAATGTTTCGATTAAACCTTTCATTTTTGTGATCACATGCTTGTCGGATGAGTTCCAATCATCCCAATTCAATTCGTGTTTCGGCGTGTTGATCGAAGATTGAGATTCAGCCATTTCGATGCAAATGTTTCGCTTGTTCCTAAACCAATCGACTTTATAGAACATTCTCACTTAGCTTTCATTCTTTCCTTTTTCTTTTAATATGAATTATTTCTGACGTAATCTATTGATTTAATGGCAATGAGTGTTTTTTTTCAGTATGTGGTATTTTACTCATACTTCATAAGTATATCTTACGTATTGTGATGATTTCTTTCCCGTCTGAAAAAACCGGATGAGTCATTTGAAAACTACCATTAAGCCGTGAAGTGACAGATACGAAACAGTAAAAAAATTCCCTTTGTTTTCCTTAGGGATGTGCGGTAGCAGTGTAATTATTTAAATACTGATAGTGTACTCACCAAAACTATCCCCATTGTTGCACTGACACTGAGATCATCAGCGCAACGGTGAACACTGTATCAGTATTGTCGGTGATCAGTAAACTGAAACTGCACATCTCTAGTTTTGCTATTACAGATTTAAGTGGAAATGAAATAATGCATTAAGAGAGAAGAAGAATTGTTACAGGGCTCAGGCAACTAACGTAAGTGACTATACTTCCATAATGATGCGATGGTAGACCACTATATATGGTTTTATGTATATGCAAAATATGTAGGGAGCGTCACCATCCTCGGCTGCACGCCTCAAACTTGAAAAATCTAAATTCCATCCTCTCCAAATCCCGATTTTTTCGAGAAAAACCATCCCGTCTCCCCTTAAAGTCGAAAAACAGTTTTCAAAAATATTTTTATACTAGCCTCATATTTGACACTCAAATACAGAAAACAGCATCTCAATATCTTCTATCAATCACTAGATACTTAGTACAGTACTTAACAAAAGTACAGATACTCAAGTATAAAGTACAAACACTTGTATTTTCCAAAAATTACCTAATACTTAGAAGTTAAGTATTAAGGGCCCCCCTCAAAAAAAATCTTTTTTGTCTTACATCCGATTTTGATCAAACTTTCAGCAACTATTTGCCATATCAAAGTGTGGTTATGAAATTTTTTTAGCTCGCTATCTCTTACCGTTCCGGGATTTTCCAGAGTCCAAGGTCAAAAACATCATCAAATCAT